TCAGGAGCCACACAGCCTGCATTCAAATCTCAGCCTCACAACCTGCTTGCTAACCCTGCCCTTGTTGTACCCCAGTTCTCTTATGTTTAAAGTTGGCAACAACCACTCCTCTTTATAGATGGTGGTGAGGATTAAATGAAGTGTACATTTAGCATTACAGCAGTGTCAGGAACTGAGAAAAATCACAATAAATATTAACCATTTCTATCATTATTTTATATACAAATTGACGAGTACTGTTTCTATGGACATTTTTATGATAATGTGGATTTTAATTTATTAGCATGGGTTGAACTTTATATATATTTGTCATGAAATAAGCAGTTTACAAAGCTGAAAGTAGGATACTATTTTATTTCTATTCTTAAATATATAGTTATATTTGCATAATATAATTCCTGAAAAAAATTAAATGTTGACAGTGCTTATCCATGCATAATAAAATTTTAAGGATTTTTTTTATTGCACTTGAGGTTCTACGGTACATGTGCAGATAACGCAGGATTGTTGCATAATTTTAAGAAACTTTTTAAAGGATTTTATTCCCTTCAGGCCTTCTCTATTTTTATCTACAAGAAAAGTGTCTTGGTTTTGGAAGTGAAAAAAAAAATAAAAACAAAATACCCCTGCCTTTTTAATAGGAAAGTTACTCAGTGTTAGGAATGATAACATGTATTAGCCAAGACAATTAGGTACTAGGGTGGTCCTAGAATTAAAGTATGAATCTATCAACATGACAGCCCCAGTTGGGCAGCTTTAGGGAAATTATGGACACCCAGGGGAAGGGCAAGCATGTCTCTCAGATAAATCTTACATTCAACAGTCAGATGACATTTCTACTTTTCAAGATTTTAGTGAAGGTCATGAGATGAAAGTGGTTTCACAACATGCTTCTTTCTGTACTCGCACAAATAAAGTCTCTTGAATTGATAGCAGGCTCCTCTGTTTACCCATGTAGTTGGCCAAACAGTGACTGCCACGGGGGAGGGAAAGGGGAGGGACTGCATGAAACCACTAGGGCTCAGCACCACAGCTTCCAGAGGAGAGAAGCCTAACACAGCGGGATTCCGGGTAAAACTAGAGTCACAGTCTCACTAGGCTAAGGCCCCAGGAGTAATAAACACACATATGAAGTACCTTGCTTATACAATTAAAAATATCAAACGGAAAGGAAAATATGCACATGCCTATCACCTGTAATACCAAATCAGATCAAGTTCTAAATGGGATGCATACCTAAACTAACCCAGGGATTTGGACAGTAGATTGGACACCTAAAAACCAACTCCTGGCAATCACTGACTTTTTTCAAGATTACCCAGATTAGTTCCAGATTTACAGGCATAGATGAGTAATAGTGTGAATAAAAGTTGGGAAATTGTGCCTGGAAAATGGGAATATATTTCATGTTCAAGATACACTGCAAATCCCAGCTAATTGGGAGGCTGAAGTGAGAGGATCACTTGACCCAGGAGTTCTAGGCTGAAGTGTGCTGTGATTGTGCCCATTAACAGCCAGTGCACTCCAGCCTAAGCAACATAGACTAAGGAGACCCTGTCTCTAAAAAAACAAAATCAAACAACCCACAGAGATATGCTGTAACATTGTTTTGGGGTGACTGGCACCTTGGAAACTCTTAAGACTTTGAACACATCACATGTTTTAAAAACATCACTGAAAATGATATACACCAATTCTGTTAGTGCTTGCTATAGCATGCAAACTGGAAAAGTGGGTGTTTCTGGTTTGGTAGCTCTGAAAGACAGTACACATGTAGAGAGGCATATATGGCAGGTCACAATGTAGAGATATGAATTAGTATTTGTTCTTCTCATCTTTCTTCCTTTCTCCTGTTATATAGCCAGACAACTACAGATAAAACGCCTGACAAAATAACACCATATTTCATGCAGAAATATATACATATGTAACGAAGGATAAATAATGAAAAGTCTAAATGCTTAACAATTACTCCTTTGTAAGAAGGAGGCTAATGCAAGCAGAAGAAACTTTGAATTTCTTTCTTTTTTTTAGACAGGGTCTTACTCTGTCACGCAGGGTGGAGTGTGGCGGTACAATCATGGCTCAGCACAGACTTGACCTCCCTGGCTCAGGTCATCCTCCCACCTCAGCCTCCCAAGTAGCTGGGACTACAGTTCTCTGCCACCATTCTCAACTAATTTTTGTATTTTTTTGTAGAGATGGAGTTTCACGATGTTGCCCAGGCTGGTCTCAAACTCCTGGTCTCAAGCGATCAGCCCGTCTCGACCTCTCAGAGTGCAAGGATTACAGGTATGAGTCACTGGGCCCCACCCAGACTTTGAGTGAATTTCAATTGTACATGTAATGTTTTATTTGTCAATATGAGTATATATAGTATATTCTTTTTGTAAGCTTTTTTATGTCTAAAATATTTCAGAAAAAGAAAACTTTCTTTAGTTCTGATTATAAAAATGATCTGTATGAATTTAGAAGTTGTGGAAAATATAGTTATGTCCAGAAATAAATATATAATTAATCAGTAGTTTTACTACTCATTAACTTAAAAAAGAGTATTATGTTTTTATGTTACCTCCACTTATACTCTGTATGCATGCATCATAATGTACATTCATTGCATGTGAGTCTAATATATTGAGACATTCAAGATTTGCAACCAAACTCTGACTCTCAAGTCACCATCCCTATTGGGGTATACAATCTTTTTCTAAATAAGGGCTGTGTTCAGCTCAGGGGAAGTATCTTCTAGACAAGGACAGATCTGGCATTAGTCCTCAAGTCTCCTGATTTCAGTCTGTTGTACAGAATAGTAATCTTTATGCTCTTTTATTCTGTACTGTCTCCTTTCTGGGGTTCAAACAAAAAGGTTCCTATTCCAGTGTCTAAATGGAAGGTAAAAAGGAAGAAAAGAACACATCAAATAAAAAGTAACAAAGTGATTATTTGATTCCAAACTTCCACCATTCTCAGGTATCTCACCCACAAAGAAATGTCACCAAAGTTCTATATCATATAAGTATGCATATTTCCTTTTCCAGTGTTTCAAATTTAGATGATCTCTGTGAGATGTTCATGTTTAAGTCTTTTGTGGAAGGGAAAACAGAGGGAAGACAAAATGTATATTTATTGAAATATTATGTATCAGATGGTTTCTACAGTTTTGCTCATTTCTCCTTATAACAGTTTTATGAGGTAAATATCAATATGCTAATTTTATTGATGAGCAAGGTGAGGTTCACTAAGGGTAACTCACTACCACAGCATCATACAATAGAAAAGAGTGAATACTCTTCCCTCATCCCAACTTCATCACGTTGCATAGCACAGAGATGGCACTAAGTTTCCTACATAATATAGATGAGTGTGTGTGGTTCCCTTCTTACATTCCCAAATACTCACTAAAATATAGTGATGCTATCCAGATTATGAAAATCATCCCTGTTAAAGATCATAAAAGTTGAGATGGGAAGGAAGCAAACACTGGCACTGTGAATGACACACCAAATACTGTGCTGGCATCTTGACAAAGATCTCCCCTTGAACAGGTCATAATACTCTCTTGAGTGTAAGGATCAGGTGTATGTGTGTTTGTGGTGAAACATGCAAAACAATACTATGTTTTATTTAGGGAAGCTCTCATATGGAATAAAAGGATAAAGCAACAAATGGGAATGATGATCATTGCTTTCTGGATGCTGATTATCTATAGCAGAGAAGGAAGGGGATGTAATTAGGGAAAAGTAAAGTTTTTTCCTAAGCTGGACTAATTTTATAGCTCTCTCTATTTTATATCTGAAACATTTCACAAGTAGCAGAGGTTTTAGGGGATATAGTTTTTAAAATAATAAATACAGACATTCCCCAACTTTTAATTTTTTGACTTACAATTTTTCAATTTTATGATAGTGTGAAAGTGGTACACATTCAATAGAAACTATTCTTCAAGTTTTAAATTTTAGTCTTTTCTCCAGCTAGCAGCATGCAGTATTATACTCGCCTGTGATTCTGTTAGGGAGCAGCAACGAGCCACAGCTCCCAGTCAGCCATGCAATCATAAGGATAAACAACTGATACTCTACAGTGTACAGTGTTGCCAGCACTTTTTGGATATTGTTTTGTGTTTTCACATCCCATCTTGTCTACAAATGCCCATTTTTGACCTACAATTATTTTCAACTTACAATGAGCTTATTAGGATGTAACTCCCATAGTAAGTCAAGTATGGAGTCTGGAGTATGTATAATCCATATTCTCACCTCAGCAAATGTTTAATATTGGGCCAAATGCAGAGGTTAAAAATATCAATAGCGAGCAATCCCCATCATAATTAAAATTAACATGATACTAGATCTTTCCAATGATTTTTTATACATGGATATATGCACATGTACTGTACATGCATTACAAATGCAATTCATAAAGCTGTTATAATCCTATGTACAGTATAGTATCCTGAGTTTTTTGTTGTTATTTTCAGTTTTCTTTTACCTTAAGTATTAACATGTGGATGAAACATTCTGAGTACATGACAAGGTATAATATATAACCTAACTTTCCTTTTTAATGAACTCTTTATAGCTAGACCTAATTCCTGAACAATATGTTTGATTGGAAATGCCATACTTGTAGCATCTTAAATGATGTTATATGCCTGAGTCTACTCAAAAGCTTTCTTTAGACTTCTTTAATCTGCGTGTCAACCATTCTGTCCAAAATTTATGAAATTATATGCTCAGAGAACATTGTAATACCTGGCAAAGTAATCCCCACTTTTTTCTTTCAGTTTTTCTATGCATGGTAGGAATAATAATAAAAGACATAAATAGTTACAGGGCACACAGTAGATAAATTGGTTGATATAGATCATGCAAGCAGCAAGTAATGATTACCAGCGTCAAATCCAAGTCCTTCTCACCCAAAAGCCCCCTCCTCTAACCACTGTTTCTATATTGAGTGTTCTTCTGTGTTAGACCAGAGACCAACAGAGGGAAGGAACTCACCCCAAAAACCAGTCCGTTGATGGGTCAAGTAACTGGGGTATAGATCTGATGACTCCCATCTTCTGTCCAGCTGATACATTATTGTTCTTTGTTCTTCTGTACTATTTCTTCTTCCCAAGGCTCAATCAGAAACTCCTTCACCCATATCACGCTAGAAAGAAAATAAGAGAGCAGTACATGGAATCAAAGGAATGATCAGATAAGACCAACATTCATTTATTGTTACTGTATTTCTAGATGTTCTCTGTTTCAAATCTTCTACTTCATAAGGCACAAGTATTTTTCTCTTGAAACCAATAATCTTTCTTTAAAGAACGTTTCCCAAAGATACAATTCAAAAAGACAGAAAGGCAGAAGCACAGGGCTATTTGTGGTAGAACAAATTGTAACAGCAGAAGACCCAAAATGTGACAGATGTCCACCAATAAAGGATTGATTGAATAATCTAAGGTACATCTACATCCTAGATTTCAATGCCAGTATAACAAGCAAGGAAGACTCCCTCTCTCTACTGCTACGTAGTGATCTCCAGGATATTCTGTTAAGTGAATAAATCAAAGTGCAGAAAAATGCGTAGAGCTGCTGTTGTCCCATACCAAAGCCACTGGCCACTCATGGCTATTTAAGTTAACTAAATTTAAATGCAATTTTAAATTCACTTCCTCAGTCACACCACATATTAGGTGTTCAAAGACACAGGTAGCTAGTGGCTACTATGCAGGACCGTTTAGACATAGAATATTTTCACCTTTGTAGAAATTCTATTTGTCTTCACCGATGTGGGATATGTCACCTTATATGTATGGAAAACTAATAGAAACATTCTATTTGCTTTTATTTTAAAACTGGAAAGTTTTAATGAAAACTGATTTTTAAAAATTGTTACCTATCATGAGAAGGAGAAACAACTCAGGATGGAAGCCAATGATGTCTTTTCTCTTAAAAATGTAATACATATATACTGGCTCCATGCACTGGAAAGGTGAAGAAACATGATAGACCCAGTAGCAATGAGCAACTCTAGTGCCCATGCTGAATCCACTTAAAAACATAACACACTGAAAGGAACTAGGTTACCTTGGAGAAATGGCTGAGTCTAGGTCTGTGTAATCATTCTACTAGATGAATGTGGACCAAACTATCATACCAGAGAGTACATCAAAAGACAGAAGCCAAGCTTAAGGGGCTCTTGCTGGACACAGATGAGGCAATTTGAACACTAAATAAAATAATGACTACTATGGATTAAAACTCATTAAATATAAAAACTTCTAGAACTCATGATAACATTCTAAAAGAAAAATAAAACAAACAAAATCAACTCATTGCTTACCTTTAGAGAATCCTAGGGAAACTCACTATTTTTAAAAGTGGAAATATTGCAAAAGAATTAGGCATTCATTCAGCCCTTCCTATACATACTACCCCTCAGTGTAATCCAATACTTTATAAAAGGAAGTTTCTTTAATAGAGTAATTCCAGCTAATAAAGCAGAGAAAATTATAGAATTATAATATCATCCTTTTATGACCTTTAATGAATACAGATCTAAGCAATAATCCTTAGAGGCTGCAGAAAAATCGAGGTGAAAAAGGGATGGGAAATTTTATAATGGATAGATCAGCTCAACAATATTTGAACATAGTAATTAATCTTAACATCACAAGAGGAGAGACAATTAGACATAATGAGCCTCCTGTGTAACACTATAGGAATAAACAACACCACATATGAATTACTTCTGACCAAAAAAAAAAAAAAATCTTAATTGAATCAAGCCTCTGAATCTAACACCAATTTTAAAAGAAAAGGAAGAACCACAAGAACATAATAAACAACAATATAGGAATATAACCAACAAAATCCACAATGCAAAATGCACAGGACAAAATATCCATTCTCTTAAGCAAATAAATTGGAAAGTGTGATGGTTAATTTCATATCTCAACTTGACTGGGCCACAAAGTACCCAGACATTTGGTAAACACTGTTCTGGGTGTGTGTGTGTGAGGGTGTTTCTAGATAAGATGAACACTGAATGAGTAGACTGAATAGAGCTGACTGCCCTCTCTAATGCAACTGGGCCTCATCTAATCAACTGAAGTTTTGAATAGAACAAAAAGGCTAAATAAACATGACTTGCTATACCTGACTTCCTGAGCCAGCATATCAGTCTTTTCCTGCTCTTTGGGACTCAAACTAAAAATTCAGCTCTCTTGGGGTCTAGAGACTGCCAGCTTTTGGAATAGAACTTAGATCATCAGCTCTCAAGTCTTCAGATTTGGACTTGTACCACCCATCAGATCTCGGGGGTTTCTGGCTTGCCAACTGCAGATCTTCAGATTTTTCGGACTCCATAGTCACATGAGCCAACTCCTTATAACAAATCAATCTCAATCTCTCCCTCTCAAGCTGTGAGATATGTATATATATATATATATATATATATACACATTTATATATATATACATTTATATATATAATGCTTTATGAATATATATGTATAACATATATTTATATATTATATTTATCCTGTTTTATATATAAATAGGATATATGTGTATGTGTGTGTGTGTGTGTGTGTGTGTGTGTGTATATATATATTTTTTTTCTATTGGTTCTGTTTTTCTGGAGAACCCTGACTAATACAGAAGGAAAATCTTTAAATTAAAAGAAACTTAACATTTCCAAGAACTTATAATTAAACTACAGTGAGGTGTTACCACAAGACCACCAGAACAACAAAATGAAAAACATGGAAAATACCAAGTATTCATGAGGATATAGAGCAAGTAAAACTCTCACAAGCTGCTGATGGGACCATAGAATGGAACAGCCACTTTGATCAACTGCTTGTTGGTATCCATTGAGCTGAACATACACATACCTTATAACTCAGAAGTGCCATAGCACATTGGTACATACTCAAGAGAAATGAAAATATACATTCATCCAAAAGAATGAACATGAACATTCATAATACCATTATTCATAAGAAGTCAAAAACTGGAAAATACACAAATTTCTATAACAGATAAATGTAGTGTGAAATATCTAAATAATACAATACTTTACACCAGGCGTCCCCAAACTACGGCCCACGGGCCGCATGCGGCCCCCTGAGGCCATTTATCCGGCCCCCTGCCGCACTTCAGGAAGGGGCACCTCTTTCATTGGTGGTCAGTGAGAGGAGCACAGTATGTGGTGGCCCTCCAACGGTCTGAGGGACAGTGAACTGGCCCCCTGTGTAAAAAGTTTGGGGACGCCTGCTTTACACCAATGAGAATAAGCAATCTACTATATAGACCATAATAAATATTAATTTCACATACATTATGTTGATTGAAAGAAGCAAGATACAAAAGAGCACATGCTGTATGATTCTAAGAATTTTATTCTAACCTCCCAATAGAGTTTGGGGCCGGAGAGGAATATCAACAACTCATTTTCTTTTATTTGAAGGTACTTAGTGTCTTTTTATGTTATCTGTAGCTTAACCTCAGATAAGTGAAGCAAATTTTTTCTGAGCCCTTGTAAAGTGATTAACTACACGTAAGATGAAAAGCTAATATTATATCTGATGGACAGGCAATGGGTTGTGAAAGATTTGGGCAAGAATCCTAAATGGATGTTCATTCTGCACTAAATCCCACAGCAGTCACTGAGTCACCATGGTAACCATCTGGCCAAGGAAAGCTGAGAAACAACGAACACCACAACCCCGAGCTTGTTCCTAATATGTACTAGAAACTAAATAGGATTGACATGATGCACAGCAATTAATCTCAAATAGTGCTGACAATAAATATTACTGACAGCTTCAGTGACATACAAATGTATACATACTCACATACATACATGCTTGCTCACCCTCTCACCGCCCCAAATCCCAGGAATTTATTGAGGTAGATTTAGTTGTGGGTAAAGAAGTAAAACTAGCCGGGCATGGTGACTCATGCCTATAATACCAGCTACTCAGAAGGCTGAGGTAGGATTGCTTGAGATCAGGAGTGTGAGACCAGTCTGAACAACATAGCAAAACTCTGTCTCTGAAAAATGTTTTTAAGTTTAGCTGAGCATGTGGCCTGTTATTCAAGAGGCTGAGGTGGGAAGATTACTTGAACTCGGGAGTTCAAGGCTGCAGTGAGCTATGATCGCCCCATTGCACTCCAGCCTGAGCCACATATCACAACAAAATCATTTCTGACCACACATATAAAGTTGAAAGCTACTAAACTATGTTCTTTTGGTGTGATTTCTAAAGATGACCTGTAGAATTGTCTCTGCAACATTTTCCTCCATAGTTTCAACATATGGTCAATGACTTGTAAAAGCAGATATGGAAAATATGGGTAAACACAGGTTAAGGATCAAATACCTTTTCCATCGTAGAGTAGGCTGTGCTTTCAATCAAAAAGATCCCTCACTGATACTGTTAAACATTTGGTTGCTGATAGTACCATGAAAATATAATAATTAGCAATTGTGTTTAACAAATAAAGCCATATGTAGCATCATCAAAAGTATAAAATATTTATGAATATCCTGTCCACAGATGTGCAATACCTAACATTGAACACCACACAACATTGCTGAGAGAATTAAAGAAGACCTAAATAAGCAAAGGACATACCATGCTCATGGCTCACAGACAATACTGAGGTGATTCAGTATTGTCAAGATGTCAAGTCTTCCAAAACTGATTGATAGATTTAGAGCAATTCAAATAGAAATCCTCAAAAATTTTTAAAGAAACTAACAGGCTGATTCTAACATTCATATGGAAATGTAAAAGACCTAGACTATTGTATTAGTCGGTTCTCAGACTTCTACAAACAAAAACCTGAAACTCGCTAATTTATTTATTTGTTTATTTTAAAAAAAGGGGGTTTCTTGGCTTACAGTTTTGCAGGCTGTGCAGGAACCATAGTGGCATCTGCTTCTGGAGAGGTCTCAGGGAGCTTTTACTTATGGCAAAAGGCAAAGCAGGAGCAGGGGTCTTACGTGACAGTAGCAGGCAGGGGAGGTGCTACACATTTTTAAACAACCAGATCTTATGAGAACTCTATCATGAGAACAGCACCAAAGGGGAAAATCCGCCCCCGAGATCCAATCGCCTCCCACCCGGCCTCGTCTCCAACATTAAGGATTACAATTTGACATGAGAGTTGGGTGGGGACACAGTTCAAAACCATATCAGGTATGAAACACAACTCTGACAAAGAATAAAGTTAGAAGACAAACACTACCTAATTTCAAGACTCCTTACAAACATACAGTAATCCAGACAGTATGCTACTGGCATCAAGATGGATTAGTAGATCAAAGGAACAGAATAAAGAGTCCAGATATAGACCCACAAGTATGTGGACAACTGAGTTTTGACAAAGATGCAATGGTAATTCAGCGGAGAAAGAATTGTCATTTCAACAAATGGTGCTGGGACAAGTGAATATTGACATGCACAAATGTAAACCGTGACTCAGATATCACACTATATACAAAAATCTATTCAAAATGGATCTGAGATCTAAATATAAAACTTGAAGCTATAAAACTTCTAGCAGAAAAAAAAAAGGAGAAAATCTCTGTGACAATGGGTCAGGTGAAGATTTCATTCATGAGACACCAAAACCACAATCTATGAGCAAAGAAATTGAAAAATTGGACTTCCTCAAAGTTAAAAACTTTAGTTTTCCAACTACATGGTTGAAAAAATGACAAGTAAGCCACAGACTGGGATAAAGTGTTTGAAAATCATATCTGATAAAGGACTTGTATCCAGAATATTTAAAAAATCTTAATCAGTAAGAAGAAAACAGACACATCAGTAAAGAAACAGGTAAAAGATGTGAATAGACATTCCACTAAAGAAGACATGCAGATATCATAAAAGCACATGAAATGATGCTCAACATCATTAGTCATTAGTTGTAAGGGAAATGTAAATGAAAACTGCAATGAGATACTACTAAACTCTTGTGAGAATGACAAAAATTAAAAAGACTGATTACACTAAGCTCTGTCAAGGTTGTGGAGGATGAAATTCTGATACATTACTGGTGGTAATGAAAAATGGTCCAAACACTTGGAAATAGCAGTTTCTTACAGTGTTATTCTTACATCTACCATATGATCCAGCCATTGCACTCCTAAGTATTTATTATATAAAGAAAGCCTATTTCCATGGAAAGACTTATTCACAAATATTCATAGCGGCTTTGTTTACAAGAGCTCCAAATTGGAAACAATTCAAATATCCAACAACAGGTGAATGAAAAAAAAATTGTGATACAGCCATATACTGGAATACTATTCAACAATAAAAAGAATGTATGTGCAGCAAAATAGATACATCTAAAAATAAATTGGGTGAATGAAAGAAGCCAAACCAAAAATCAAAAACAAACACACAAAAACATTTCTATTATTCCATTTAAGTAAATGTCTAGGATATGAAACTTGATCTATAGTGACAAAGTATTGTGTTTGTCTGGGGACAGGGCAATAGGAGGGATAGAGAGTCCTAGTAGTACAGAACTGAAAATCTTATGTAGTGGGAAACAATGACAATAATATTTTAGGCCTAGTTGGTTATTTTATGGGACATGGTTGGTTATCATGATAATAGAGCAAATTATATGGAAATTATTTTTCAAAATACTGAACTTCTGCATCTGACATTTTGAGTTTTAACTAATACTTTGTATATTTCTGTCTTCTTTAAAAAATCATTATAGAATGGATAAATACACGATGACCATTGAAAAATGCATATTACAATCTCCAGTTGCTTGGAAGACTTTCTGACCAACTGTGTATTTCAATGCCCACCTGAGAGATACATGGGAATCACTGATTATACAGGCAGAAAACATGTAAATGTATTGAAAAAAACATGTTAAATATCAAGTTGCTTCCCCAAATGAACTATTCATTGCTTTGTGACAACGAAAGGCATTTTTAACATGGGCCTCAAGGGCCACTACGAAACACACAGCTGCTGATGAAAGGAAATTCCACCTGCTAAACCTCTTCTCCAAAGATGGGATCAAAGTAGTTTCTCTACTGTTAGACTATTTTATAAACCTCAAAGAGCCATTCCACAACATGCTTTTGTTAGGATCTATTAACTCACTTGTGCCAGGCATCATATCCCACCAGGGATGGAAGTCTTGGGAGTCTCCTTAGGACTGCTGCCCTTCAAATCTGACGTAGAAGCTTCAGCAGCCATCAACACCCAGATTCTCAAAGCCCATCTTCTTCAGACACCTGATATGAGCTCAATCACCTGATGAAGAGCTTCACAGGGACAGAGAGAATCCAGCAATCACTGTGCTTTCTTAGAGTAACAGTGTGCCAGGAATCATGCTAGGCACTGTCAGTGACCAGTGACACTGATACAATTGGGTAGTGATCATTACAGCCAGAAGATACAATGGGCTTCTCATTAGGGCCTTTTTCTTCTCCTTTCCTCATCTATCTCCTAAAAACAAATCTGTAAAGGACTAAGAAGAGGCTTGAATTCACACAGGCATTCCTGATCATGCAGTAAACACAGGGTTATGGGCTTGCACCTGTGGTATCACTGTAGGTTGCAGCAATCCTGTGGGTGAGCATAATTATCCCTATTTTGCTGAGAATGATGGTTTCCAGGTTCATCCATGTTCCTACAAAGGACGCAAACTCAATCGTTTTTGATGGCTGCGTAATATTCCATGGTGTATATGTACCACATTTTCCCTATCCAGTCTATCATCAATGGGCATTTGGGTTGGTTCCAGGTCTTTGCTATTGTAAACAGTGCTGCAATGAACATTCGTGTGCATGTGTCCTTATAGTAGAATGATTTATAATCCTTTGGATATATACCCAATAATGGGATTGCTGGGTCAAATGGGATTTCTATTTTTAGGTCATTGAGGAATCACCACACTGTCTTCCACAATGGTTGAATTAATTTACACTCCCACCAACAGTGTAAAAGTGTTCCTATTTCTCCACATCCTCTCCAGCATCTGTTGTCTCCAGATTTTTTAATGATCACCATTCTAACTGGTGTGAGATGGTATCTCAATGTGGTTTTGATTTGCATTTCTCTAATGACCAGTGATGATGAGCATTTTTTCATATGTTTGTTGGCCTCCTGTATGTCTTCTTTTGTAAAGTGTCTGTTCATATCCTTTGCCCATTTTTGAATGGGCTTGTTTGTTTTTTTCTTGTGGAAATGCTCACAAGAGCAGAAAATCAAACACCGCATGTTCTCACTCATAGGCGGGTGTTGAACAATGAGAACACATGGACACAGGGAGGGGGGCACTACACACTGGGGTCCGTTGGGGGAAAATGGGGGAGGGACGGGGAGGTGGGGAGGTGGGAAGAGGTAGCATGGGGAGAAATGACAGATACAGGTGAGGGGAAGGAAGGCAGCAAACCACACTGCTATGTGTGTACCTATGCAACAATCTTGCATGTTCTTCACATGTACCCCCAAACCTAAAATGCAATAAAAAAAAAATTATCCCTATTTTACAGAAGGGAACACTGGGCTTGGAGAGCCCTTACCTGTCTCATCCTCCCATGTCCCACCTTTACATAGAAAGTAGCTCCAGGACACCAAGAGCAGGACACCACACCCACTGGAGCCAGAAGGGTCCCAGCTGTCTCCCTCATAAAACAGTGAGAGCAACTTATTTCAAAGTGGCATCGAGGAGACTTAGATCTGGGATCCCTTCATCTCCCCACAGCCCATGACAGTTCAGCCCCCACTGTGGGCACCCACACCCTCAACTGAGTCCCAAACACCTGAAGGCAGGACCCTGCTATTCTCACCAGCCCACATGGGTCTCTATTAAAAAGTCATCAAGGTCCCAGTAATGACTTCTGGTTTCTATGGCAACCGTGCTGCTCAGGCTTGTCCTCCACATCAGAAATGCTTCTGCACAGCCCTCTGTCCCCTTGCCTTCCTCCAAATTAAAAAAAAAAAAAAAAAATCTTTACTCTTCAGGCTACCTCCTGAGAAAGTTTACTAATTAGAGGAACTAGCCTCAGGCAAGGGCAATTTGTGGAACTCTGCCCAGCTTGGTGAAACAAAGCATCATCCCTTTGGCAGGAATACTGCCTGCTTTAAAAGTGACAGAAGTTGAGTACTATCATGACACAGAGATGCAAGGAGGTATCCTAGGGCTCTTGGTGATGAGCTAACCCTCTGAGGATGATGTATAAAACTTAACACAACACACTAAGCAGTTAGCTATCTGTGGCAGAAAACTAAGAGATCGTCTATGTGTCTAAATGATGTAGGAACACCAAGAGATATCATTTAAGATGCCTCAGTATTTCAGGGATGCAGGCCTATAATAATGAAATCATTTAGTGGGCAGAAATCTGGTCAATTGAAACATATATTGGCTCATTTTGGGGAATTCTTATCTACCATTCTTAATATTTTCTTCCATGTGGAGAGACATCGATACCCAAAACAATCCTGACCTCTGGATACACTCACTCCTTCTCTATTACAGGAATGCCTCATCTAGTTGGTGAGTTTGGATGGAGAAACAGGTTGCACAGCCCAGGTTGTCTTCCTTCAAAATCCCTGGTTATAATCTTCACTTAACCAAGCATATGTTCTTCTCCGCTCTCAGGGGTGGGGCTTACAATAGGTCCACAGCTCTACTCTCCTGTGTTTCCTTGGCTCCCCAACTATTCCTATAGTCTTAACAATGCTTAGATATTTAAGGGGCCCCCAAAATGCCCTCCAGCTCCAAATCTGAGTTGTATACTAACCGAGAAATACGACAAAATACTAAGAAAAATAAATTGACTTTATAAAAGTGATACTGGAGAATGTGGCATAGATTTGCTGACGCATGGGTTTCCTGTGAACAAACCCCAGAATTGGACAGACTCATCCAGTGCTACATTGGGACCATCACAAAAAACCAAGGCCTGCATTGCATATCTATCTGCTGTCTGCTGAAGGAGCCCTGTCTATGTATGCCCAAGGAAAGTGACTTCCTTGTCAAGGGCTATCCCTGTAGCAGGAGAAAGTCTTTCAGGACACCTTCTGAGAGAAACACTTCTCAAAGTGAATAAACACACCTGTACTCCTTGCATACTCACCAAGCAACCTGCAGAAGATACAGGTTTCCATATGGCTCAGGAAGCAGTTTATATCAACATTCTCTCAATTTCTTAACGTAAGTGATTGCATTGGAGGCTTATCCTATAGAGAGAGATTGGAATTATGTTCTAAATTCCAAGAGTAGATTGAAAAGCATATTTTATGAAAACCTCCCTTGAAAATACCATCAAGAAGGAATTAATAGGATATTCTGAAACATATACCCACACATAAACTAACACATAGATTAGAGTCAAAATTATAACAAAGCCTCCCCAAGCCTTCATGATCTGTGATCTGAGAACAGAGCACAAAAAATGAAGAAAAGGTCACCGAAACCATAAAGTTTTAGATAACCACTTGTACTTTACAAAATGTTCCCAAACAATAGCTATTTATTATCTCTCAGGATTCTATTAATCGACTGGGGTTTGGTGGGTGCTTTCTGTTCTATGTGGTGTCTGTCACCTGGGGCTGCAGTCATCAGGATGCTACACTTGCCTGGGACATCCAAGAGAGCTCACTCACATGGATGATGAATGGTGCTAGCATCTGCTGGGAGCTCAGTGGGGCTGTTTCATGAAGCATCTTGGTTCAACACAGATTCCTCTGTGAGTAGGGCTGTCAGATAAAATAGAAAACACTCAGACAAATTTGATTTTCATATAAACAATGAATAATTTTTTAGTGCAAATGTGATGGTGACTTTATGTTTCAACTTGGCTGGGCCACATTGTTCAAATATCTCAACATTGTTCTGCATGTTCCTGCAAGGGTGTTTTCGGATGAGATCAACATTTAAATTGGTGGACTTTGAGAAAAGCAGATTGTGCTCTATAATGTGGGTAGGCCTCATCCAATCGGATGAAGGCCCGAATAGAGTAAAAATCTTACCTCTTTTAAGCAAGAAAAAATTCTACTAGCAGACAGCCTTCATACCTGAACTGCAACATTGGATATTCTCTAGTCTCCTGTCTGCCGGCTCGCTCTGCAGATTTTGGACTTTCGGCCTCCCTAGTCATGTGAGCCAATTCTTGAAAATTAATCTCTCTCTCTCTTTCTCTCACCATATACACACGTGTGCGTATATGTGTACACACATCATACTGGTTCTGTTTCTCTGGATGTGACATGCAATTTTTTATTTTAATTCAGCTGCACATTTTGTATTTTTATTTGCTGAATCTGGAGACCTTATGAGAAGAGCCTCTGAATATGTAAGTTTAATGACCATCTGAGATGACCTTCTCAATAAGTCAGGGCGGGTCTGGGGACAATTAGCAGATCATATTGAAAAAAAAAAAAAAGGCAAGAGCTGGTAACATCTAGCGTTGGTTAAATAAAACAGAAACAGACTTTCATATACACTTGGTGCCACATCAAAGTATCCATTTTCTGAGGCCCATATTACTACAGCTGAATGACCTGAATGGCCTTTGTACAGAAGTCCTATTTCAACCAACAAGGGAGTTTCACATGAGGGTTTAGAAAAGGCTCATCAAGGTGACTCTGATGTGCATCTTGGTTAAGGGGCCCTGGTAGCTGGGGCAGATCAAATTGACATATGAGTTCCCTGCTCCAGGGAGGAAAGATAGCTTCTACTTATGGAGCAGAGTGTTTAGAGGAGCCCAGCTCCAAGTTGTTTATGTGACTCTCTGGGTTTTATCTCATGACAGCCCTGCTAGTGAGGTTCCAGTATCTTCTCTTCTTCACAGATGTCTGTGACTACAAAGCACATGTTCCTAACCACAGAGCTGGATGGCTAAGAGGTTTCTCTCATATACAACAAGGTGGGGGCAATAGGGGGTCGGAAAACTATGAAACAGGAAGAAATGGGGTGAGTGATGACTTCATCCCTGTACCCCAAACTTCATTCATGGGGTCCATGACTCAGTTGGATAGAGATGGTAGAACCACCTTCTTCCCTTCCCACAGGCCCATCAGGGTGCTCATTCCACCACATAGAAATGGCACTGACTCACAGTGAAATTAGAAATGTGTGTTTTCCTCCTTCTCTCTATTAGCTCTCTAGGTACATGGAAAATAGTTACTGTACACTGGAGAAACTTGACAAACACCATCCTTAACCAAATGATGAAGGTTAACAACACCAGTGACTTCATGCAGCCATCATATACTCCCAGATATGATGTGACAAGAAGGGTACCTGAACTAGTGGTATTCTTTCTCAAAATCTGTAACTGCAGTCAAATCACAAGAGAAACAACAGACTGAGCTTGTACTCCTCAAGACTGTCAGGGTTATAAAAGTCAGTTGGCAGTTCCTCAGATGAATAAACAGACAGTTACCATATGACCCAGAAATCCCACTCCTAGATACGTGCCCAAGAAAAATGAAAACCTATGTCTACATAAAAACTCATACATAAATGTATATAACATCATCATTCCTAAGAGGCAAAAAGCAGAAATCATCTAAATGACCACCAATAGAGAGATGGATAAACAAAATGTGGTATATCTTTAGAATAGAATATTATTCAGCCTTAAAAAATGAATGGATTCTGCTACATGCTACAATATGCATGAACCCTAAAAACATCATGCTAAATGAAAGAAGCCAGATTCAAAAGACCAAATGCTGCATAATTCCATTTATATGAAATGTCCAGGATGGACAAATCCACAGAGACACAAAGCATAACTATAGTTCCAAGAGCTGACGACAGGTGCAGATTTAACTGCATTGAAGCACAATGGGAGTTTTGGGGACAAATGAAATTTCTAAAACTCAGTGATGGTGATGGTTGTACAACTCTATACATTTAATAAAAATCACCAGTCTTAAAATGAATGGATTCTATTGTCTATAAATAATATTGTAAGAAATTTGTTTTAAAAATGTTGGCCAAGTCTGGCCAGGCATGGTGGCTCATGCCTGTAATCCCAGCACTTCAGGAGTCCAAAGTGGGCAGGAGTTCAAGACCAGCCTGGCCAACATGGTGAAACCCCTGCTCTACTAAAAATACAAAAAATTAGTTGGGCATGGTGGTGCATTCCTGGAGTCCCAGCTACTCAGGAGGCTAAGACAGGAGAATTGCTTGAACCTGGAACCCGAAAGGCTGAGGTTTCAGTGAGCCAAGATCACACCACTGCACTCCAGCCTGGGCGACAGAGTGAGACTCCATCTCAAAAAAAAAAAAAAAAAAAAAAAAAAAAAAAAATTGTTGGCCAAGTCTTCTATTGTACCACAGGAATGACCAAAAGTTTTCATACAAAGGCTTTGGTGTAGATGTTTTATATAAACACTAATGTACATAAAGCTGAAGCTGTATCCCAGCCCTGACTCTATGTCAGGCGTCCCCAAACTTTTTACACAGGGGGCCAGTTCACTGTCCCTCAGACCGTTGGAGGGCCGCCACATACTGTGCTCCTCTCACTGACCACCAATGAAAGAGGTGTCCCTTCCTGAAGTGCAGCAGGGGGCCGGATAAATGGCCTCAGGGGGCCGCATGCGGCCTGCAGGACGTAGTTTGGGGACGTCTGCTCTATGTCCTGTGTTCCTCCCATGACCTTTCCCCCACCCCAATGCTACCTGAAGTCTAATTCATATCTGATCATTTTAATGTCTTCCAAATGTTGTGATGGCTTGAGAGTGGGACCACAACAGGGTCCCGGGCCTTCCCTCTATGACAGGATGCCAGCATTATTACTTTCCTTACCCTTCTCCAAACTTTTTCATGTAGTTCCACTTTAGGGAGCCTAAACGGCACTGACTCTCTGGATGTCAGCATCTAAGCACCAGCAATTTCCTTTTTAGATGTTTAACTTCAGGATGTAGTGAAGGATGTTGATAAGGGTCTGGTTATAAGGACTGCCATCCTAACAATACCCTCTCTTTATTGCTAGGCCTGAATTTAGAAAGGGAGAACTAAACAGGATGCAAAGCCATGAAGAGGCAGAAGGAAGCAGAGGAAAGTGTGGCTGTCAGCACGCACACACTTGCACACATTCACACACTCTCTCACACTCATGCACTAATCAGGGTTCTATTATCACAATACTAGAATTTTTCTAGGACAGTTTGCTGGGTTCTAAGAGGACACATTCAGCTCAGCAGTACAAACAGCCATAGGAACTGTGCCCTGTAGCAGAGCACAGACTTTGAAAAGATGCCAGTGTAGATAAAAGGGAATATCAGAACACACTGAATAACACAGGGTTGGGTACATTGATTATGTCACATCCATAGGATGGAATTCTAGGAGGCAGTAAAAACAGGTTATAATGAAAACAATGATAAGGGATGATTTCTTGCCTAACCAATTAGCAATAATTAACATTATTTCCAGTGTGTGAGCAGACACGTACATACCATATTGGTAGGAATATATATGAGTAATAATGTTATCAATGTATTGTGTTAATATAAAATTTTATTGATTCCATAATGAAAGAGTATTTTGAGAATCTTATGAAGAAACTCTTACAAATATATTTGCATATATGTGAGCAAGGATGTTGTGTTTGCTACTGTTTATAATAAAACATGGTAAAGTAACTACATTTTTATCTCAAAGTGAAATAAATGTGGTACCATCCATATGATGAAACATCCAGTTGATGGAAAAAATAAAAACCAAAAATATGTTGTAAAGTAATTTAAAATGTTGTGATAGATGTGTATTTTCATGGAAAAATGGTCATAATAAAGTCAAAGGCAGGTTACAAAGATCATCAGTAGCCAGGATCCATTTTTGCTCATATCCATCTACAGCTATTTTTCCAGAGGACTCAAAGCATACAAACAAAAATCTTTTTCTTGCTCCCACATAAAGCCTTCTCCTCAGCATAGTGAGAGGCTACACTCTGTTTGGAGGCCATCAGTATTCCTTTAGCCTGGACTTGCTCAATTTTCCATCCAGACTTCCAGAAAACTCCATAGAGTGAGCTTGGGCCAAACTGCTCCTTCCCACCTTCCTGCTCTGATGTAAAAGCTGCAGTTCAGGCTTCTGTCACGAGGGGGCATCAACCTACCTTCATCGTTAAACCTCTACAAAGACGTTTACGCCATGAGCAAAAAAATAAGAATAAAACACCCTCCACTGAAACCCAGCCTATGAACCTATGGACAGAATGATTCTAATTCTTCCAGGAAAAAAATGATAGATGTAAAAGAACACTACAAAAGCATATACTCCATGGCATCTATACGACGAAACACCGTTTATCACGAGCGTGCCTTGGCAGTCCTTAGCAGGCTGGTGTAGTGCAAACCGGGGCAGCAGAAGGTGACTGGGAGAGGATGGGGCACGGGAATGGGGTCTGGGCGGCTGTGTCCATAGCGTCCCGGAGAGGGGACGCCTGAGAGGAGGTCTACGAAGCCTGTACAGGGGTGGGGTAATGGAGAATGTACACCCTACACTCTGGGAGGGACCCCTTTACAGTATGGACACCTCAGCCTGCACTAACAAAGGAAGAAATAAATCAATGAATGAGATGTGGATTTAGAGTCAACAGCAAATGGACCTGCTTTAATATACATGCAAAATTTCCAAAGAAAACTTACAGTAAACGAACCATTCCAAGATATTTGCTACTCTTTGAAAAAATGTACTCTTTTTCATTAGAAAAAGGAAAAGAATAATGGAGTTAGACATCACTTCAGGCCAGAGTCAGGATTGAAGCTCTCAGTTTCAGACTAGGAGGATCATCAACTGGGAGGGACAGTATCAGCCAAAGTTTTCTGGAATTATTCACCTAATGGTAGCAATCTCTCTTATCTTTCATTTTTCCTCTATATCTAAGAGCAAGATTAGTTCTAGACCACCAACTTCTAAATTGAAGGCAAAACTACCTGTGTGTGTGTATTTGGAGTAATTTAGCTAGAGGAGACACAGACACAGACACAAACATACACACAGGTAGAAACACAGTCAATTCAGTTATCTACTTTGTTTTACCATCAAATTGAATACATGGAATGTTTTCACAAATTAGTGAATATATGTATACAATTCTCTTGTCAATCTCTTCATAAGGATTTTTTGTGTTCAAATTTTTATCAAAATACTCTTCTCTTTAATATAAAGTTTCAAAAAGTATGCAAAGGTACACTCAAAAATAAGAATTTTATCCCTCATCTCTCACAGACCTGACTCCTGCCCCCTGACCCCAAAGGGTCTGCTGTCCCTAGGATGGCACACATTCTCCAGATGTGTCCCTGTGAGATGCACATAAACACGTCCCCCCCACCGCCACACACACACATTGCCTTCTCCAAAAGTGCAATCACAGTCTTCATCTTGACATTTCCACTTATTATAATTTCTCAGGATTTTAAAATATTTGCATCTTATTAGTTCTTGTGGGTTTTGTATATTTAATGTTTATTATCCATGTATATACTTATTTGAATTTTCTGTTGAAATCATTGCCAATTGTTTTGTTAATGAGTATGTTTCACAAATCACAGACACCAACCCAACATCTGGGATGCAGTTTGAAAATGTTTTCTCCCTTGTTGTTACTGGGTTATTTTTCTCTTGGAAAATGTTTTAAATTGCCATAATGGGACTTAATAATTATACATGTCACAATTTAAAAAGAAAAAAACATTGCAAAACACCTGGGGAGCACGTACTGTCAGCCTGGAGGGGGATTAGAGCATTCAGAAACCTGGAGGCATCAAGAGAAAATGACAAAACTTTAGAGTATTCCAGAGTTAGCTGCTGGTCAGAAGATAAAGTTCTCCTCTGTTCACAAAAACTCCCCTAAAGGCAGCACCCTGATCTGAATAATGATCATAATAATGGGTACCTTGGATAGAAGTTAAGATTACAGGAGGCCAGGTGAGGTGGTTCATGCCTGTAATCCCACTGCTTTGGGATACCGCGGAGGGGGAGGATCTCTTGAGGCCAGGAATTCAAGACAAGCCTGGGCAACATAGCAGGACCTTGTCTCTACCAAAAGAAAAAGAAAAAAAAAAATTAAAAGAGATAAAATATAAAGTGCATTGGCTTACAGTAGTTCAGTGCATGTGACTTTCCTTCCCTCTAGCTCTCCTGTCTCAAGGGCAACACCTGAGCTTCTGCCTGAGCCCACTCACCACCTCAGCCAACTCTGGGTGTATGACCCTACACTCAGGTCTCTTAGTACAAAGGACAAGATTTCATCTCCTCTGTCTTCTTCATTACCCAGAAGGGTTGTGGAATGGGGGACCTGTGGGGCCACAATATCAGGGGAGTGAAATCTGGCCATTTTTCAAGCCCTGGAAGCCCATCTTCTAGAAGGGAAGCTGCCCAGTATCCTCTAGGGAGGGTGAAGGATGGAACCTTATTCCAATCCTGCCACTTACCTGGGGAGGTGACTTAGACTCTGTGAGCCTGAGTTAGTCATCTGTGAAATGGGACTGACCATACCATCCTTACAGAGCTGTCCTGAGGGGTTAATGAGAAAACCTGTGGAGAATATATAGCATGGAGTGAGACTTCAAGGGCCCTTTAAATGCTGAGACACAGAAGTGGGGGCTGGCTGAGCCTCTGGGCTAAGGCAGGCATTGTGAAAAGTCATTTTTCATTGTTTCTCTCCTAATGAGAACACAGACATCCATATAAGGAAAGCAAATCTCTCTCTGATATGCCTTGAGTTCAAAGTTTTAGAGACAGAATGTTCTCTACATTCTTGGATGTTTTCAAATCTCCTAAAAGCTGTTCAACATCATGCCTCTGAGCAGACCAAAATCCACTTCCCCATACTGGGAAGAAAAAAAAATGATAGGGGTAAAAAACAAAACTGTGAATACATATGCTCCAGGATATCCGTGCCATGAAATGGTAACTCTACTGCATCTTTGCAGTCACTAGTCATCATTGGTCAGTGCAGGGCAGGCGGGAGGTGGCTGAGAGTGGATGGGTCACTGATGTAGGACCTGGACAGCTGTGTTCACAGTGTCCAGGAGAGGGGATGACTTAAAGGTGGGGGAAAAGGTCTGGGAAGCCTGTACAGGGGTGCAGTAATGGAGAGTGAATGCCCTGCTTTCTGGGAGGGACCTATCCACCTTATGGACACCTCAACCTACACTGACAAGGGAAGAGATAAATCAATGACTATGATACAGATTTGGGGTCAACAGCAAATGGACCTGCTTTAATATACACATGAATTTTCCAAATAGAACTGGTGTCATAGTAAACAAATCACTTCATAACATTTGTTACTCTTAGCAAAATGTACTCCTTTTCATTAATAAAACAACAAAAGACATGGAGATAGCTGTGATGCCTCCTGGTAGCCAAAGACAGGATCGCAGGTTTGAGAGTCAGACCAGAGGCTCAGCACAGCTGAGGCTGGAGGTTAGCTTCACTATATCAGCCAGAGGTGGGTTTTTAAAATTATTGACCTAATGATAGCAGTCTCCTTGTATTCATCATGTTCTAGAATATCTAAAACTCAGATTGTTTATAGCTCCCATCTGAATTAAAGATAATGCTATATCTGTGAGTGTGTATTTGGGATGATAGAGCTAGAGGACACACACACCACACATGCACACACACACACACACACACACACACAATTAGATTTTTTATTTCTTTCACCACATGACACAATGAATTTTTTTCAAATTAATGAAAATATGTGCATATTTGACAATCAGTTCAAAAGTATCTTGTGTTCAAATTTTCATCAAAATATTTGTATTCCCAAATATCGAATTTCAAACAATATATGAATATATTCATAAATTGAAATTAATCGGCACTCTCACTGGCCCAACCCCGACCCCTTGACTCCAAGTGCTCAGCTGTCCCTAGGATGGTGCATACTCTCCAGTGTCCCTGTGAAGTGACACGTTCACCCCCAACACACCGTCTGTTCCAAATGTGCAATCACAGTCCTCATCTTTTGCATCTGGTTGTTTCCACTTACTGTAAATTCTAAGGATTTTAAAATATTTGCATCTCATTAGTTCTTGCGGTTTCAATGTTTTTTAATATTTATTGTTCATGTATATACTTATTTGAATTATCTGTTGAAATCTTTGCCAATTATTTTGTTACCGACTACGTTTCATATATCACAGATACTAACCCACGATCTGAGATGAAGTTTGGAAATGTTTTCTCCCTTGTTTTAATACAATTGTCACCGGGTTTTTATTTCTCATTTGGAAAGCATTTTAAATTTCCATAAGAAGACTTAAAAATTATACATGTCATAATTTAAAAAGGAAAAACTTTGGAAAATACCTGGGGAGCATGTACTGTCAGCCTGGAGGGAGATTAGAGCATTCAGAGACCTGCAGGCATCAAGAGAAAATGATAAAACTTTAGAGTATTCCAGAGTTACCTGCTGGTCAGGAGATAGTTTTCTCCTTGATTCACAAAAACTCCCCTAAAGGCAGTACCCTCATCTGAATAATGGGTACCTTGGATAGCAATTAAGATTAAAGGCCAGGTGAGGTGGTACATGCCTGTAATCCCAGCACTTTGGAAGGCTGATGTGGGAGGATCACTTGAGGTCAGGAATTCAAGACAAGCCTGAGCAACATAGTGAGACACTGTCTCTACCCAAACAGACAAAAACAAAAAGATTAAAGGAGATGAAATATAGAGTGCATTGGCTTTCAGTAGTTCAGTGCATGTTACTTTCCCTCTTTCCAGTTCACCTGTCCCAAGGCCAACACCTGAGCTTCTGCTTGAGCCCACTCACCACTTCAGGGATCATCCAACTCATGTGGCCCAATGACCAGGTGTCTCAGCACAAGGGACAGGATATCATCTCTGTCTTCTTCATCACCCAGAGGGACTGTGGAGTGAGGGCGCGTGGGTCCATAATAGCAGGGCAATGGAATCTGACCATTTCACAAGCCCTGGAAGCACATCTTCTAAAAGGGAGGCTGCTCAGAGTCCTCTAGGGAGGGTGAGAGATGGAACCTCATTCCAATCCTGCCACTTTAGGTGATTTAGACTCTGTGAGTCTGAGCCTGATTACCTGTGAAATGGAACTGACCATACCATCCTTACAGTGCTGTCCTGAGGGGTTAATGAGAGTACATAGCATGGAGTGAGACTTCAATGGCCCTTTAAATGCTGAGACACAGAAGTAGGGGCTGGCTGAGCCTCAAGGCTAAGGCAGGCATTGTGAAGTTATTTTTCATTGTTTCTCTCCTAATGAGAACACAAGACATCCATATAAGGAAGGCAAATCTCTCTCTGATATGCCTTGAGTTCAAAGTTTTAGAGACAGAATGTTCTCTACATTCTTGGGTGCTTCATAATCTCATAAAAGCTGGTCAACATCAGGCCTTTCAGCAGAGCCAGTTCCCAATGCTGGGAACATGGGCATGTTTTTGAACTCACCTGGTAAGTTCAGATATACATCGCACCAGAGAAGCAAGGTGTGGTATTTGCCTAAGGGCTGCTCCTGACTGCTCAGTATATTAATGTATTTGTAGAAAAAAATGTGGCCCCATCCACAGTCAGTATAGGGGTCCTCAGATCATGCATTATCCCACCACAGCACACCAGAATTTCAGCCACCTGCTGCCTCCCTGACAGGCTAAAGTCCAAAAATTATGAGCATTTCTTTCACACAATTTTGCCACTTTTAATCGCTAATAACTAAATCTGTGTTGCACTCAAAACCCACAGTATTCCAATGGTGGTGTCTCATTAACTAACTCCATAGTAGAAATGAGATGGCAGTAGGGAAATGAATATATGAGCAACTTCAAGGTTACATCTGAGATTAGAGAGCTCCTTTACATTAACTTTTGAACATAGTCAACTTTAAAGGAATTGAAGCCTTTAAAATATCCCTGCTTAACCCCCCCTTCAAATTTAAAGTACTAAAACAGTTCTCTACAGTTTCTGTTCACATTGTTTATTGTATTGACTCCTCATCCCCCTACCATGGTGGCTTCTGTACCTTGATTGCAATGAACATGCTCTCCCAGATCACAAACCACCTTTTGTCACTAGGTCCAGTGTGTATAAATGTGTAACTATATTAAAATACTTAGTATTACTTTTAATGACCTCCTAAAATATGCTCACTTGTGCAGACTGCTTTCACTTAACAAATTTGCGACAGCTTCCAGGCTCTGGAGCAACATGTACTGGACACAAATCCAAGCAGGCCCACTCCCTAACTGTGCAGTCTTGAACAAAGTCACTTTCTCTGTCCCTCAGTTTTTCATCTATAAAACAGAGATTGCTACAAGATCTATCTCATAAGAGAGCTATGAGCACTGGATGACTCAATACATATAAAAATCACTTGGTTAATAAGAAATTTTAGTCAATTAAAAAATGTCTTCAATGTGTCACTGATATCACTATCCTTACAGCCATAACAATATAAGACATAGATTGATGTTTATTTATAATTAATTACATTTTCGATATGTTGTTAGTGAGTATGTTAGTTTCCTAGGGTTGCCACAACAAATTACCACAAAACCTGTGGCTTTAAACAGCAGAAATTTATTCTCTTACATTTCTGGAGACCAGAAGCCTGATATCAAGGTTTTGACAGGGTCACACTCCCTAGGAAGGCTTGGGAGGAGAATTTTTTTCTTGCCTCTTCCAGCTTTTGGTGACTCATAGCTTTCCCTGGCTTATGGCAGATTAACTCCAATCTCTGCCTCCTTCTTCACATGACCTTCTTTCCTGTGTATGTCAAATCTCCCTGTCCTCTCTGTTACAAGGATACCAGTCATTAGATTTAGAGCCCACATTAAATCTGGAATCATCTCATCTTGAGATCCTAAATCATGTGTGCAATGACTCTATTTCCAAATAACGGCACATTCACAGGTACTAAGGGCTAAGGCTTGGACATATATTGTTGGAGAATATTATCCA